CTTTTCAAACTGACTCTTATCATTCATTAGAACATCCTCTACACCGACATTTCTTAGAATTGAAAAATATTAATTTTTTAAAATCGTTTTTTGAAGGGTGTCCTGTTCATAATATAAATAACGTGCCAAATCGATCCCTGACTTCTTAAATAATTATATATATATATATATATATATATAGTTGGATTGATGTGAGATTGTGATCCTGGGTTTCAGGCTTTTGCGATCGTCAGACAAGCAATAAGTACCGCGCATATAATATGTAAATAATATATATAATATATTGCATATATATATATATATATATATATATATATATACACTTTTCATATATATATATATATATATATATATATATTTCGACATAATTTATTTCTCTTGAGAGTGCATTTAATTCAGTGATGAATATTTATCACATGTAATATCGCATATGTTAAAGTAGAAAAAATCATTTATACCACCTATCGAGCGTAGAAAATACAAAGTTTATAAATATAAGCTTTGGTGAGCAAAAGCAGAAAGTAAAATAAGACAAACGATGTTCAGGTTAATTTTACAAAAAAATAAATAAATAAATAAAAAAGAACACTAATACAGAAAAACCCGGTAACTGTGGAAAAAGTTAAATAAATGATAATAAGCAAAACAACAATAATAATCATAACATGTGTTATGAATAATCAAGTGTGGTCTCCCTTTGTTTCATAACTTTCCTCTTTGAGAGAGCTATTTCTGTTTACTGGGACTATAAAAGAACACTATACGCGAACCTTGTATTATCAAATGAATAATGATTTCTTAAAGTCTACACCCGCGTACTTTTATCATTAGAATATATATGATAAATAAAATAAATTATAATTTAGTTATACAATTAAAATTTTTATATATTAAATAATAACTTCATCACCGAGTATGTTAGTCTTAAATCCCGAAATATTTTCATTTTTGTTTCTGTTTGCTTTTTCTAAAATGAACAAACTTTTCGATATTTGTATTTATTTGTGAACTATTTCTGAAATTCTTTTGTTTTCTAGTGTTTTAGTTTACCTAACGTTTTATAGATTTAAAGAAACCATTAATTTTTTTGAGCTTCTAAAACACTTAATATATATATTATGTATATAGTGTGACATAGTGTAGGCGACTGCGCGACAGGAGGAACCTGAATGCACTGCCACCGGGAGCTCCGTCTCCTGGTAGGATCACCAATGTCGTTAAGGGGCTAAACTAAGCATGATCCGACGCCTGGCAGGTAGGCAGTCAAGGCGACATTCTACGTACGAGAAAAAGTCGACAGCACGATGCAAACTGTCATCATGAACCCGCCTGTCAAGCTCTGGTTTGCTGCAGCGAATGGTGTCAGCTGAAGTGTGTGTTTCATGGAGTCGTGACCAATGGACCATTTGAAACAATTCGCTGCCAAGGGTTTTATGCTTCTCGCGTCTAAAGAACCAATTGGTGTAGAGCAGTACATAGAAAAAACAACATCGTATTTCGAAAACACCAGAAGACAAATAGAAGAGACTAAGGGAGCCGAAAGAAAAGCCACAGCTCTCCATCCTCTGAACCGTCCTACCCTACCGGTCGACTATCCAGATCCAATATTGAACTCATTTCACACAGAAGGGAATGTCGATGAGCACCCCAATTCTCAATTTCAAGGTCCACCAATGATGACGACAGAAAAAAATCAACATAAAAATCCAGCTAATGACTACGTATCAAACTCTTGGCTTATTGATCTACTTTTATATATTTATTAGGTTGGTGCAAAAATAATAACGTAATAATGTCGTTTTTTGACGTATTTTTTAAGGTCAAAAAACGACATTATTACGTCATTTTTTTGCACCAACCTATATATATATGTAACGAGGGGAGAAATAATCGTGTAAATAAATTGGCGAGGACACTATTTATTTACACGATTATTTCCCCCCTCGTTATTTATATACTTGTTTGTTATTTTAGTGTGTTTCCCCCTCTTTTTGCTCTTCATTATCGTTAATATTCTTTTCGCTGATCCAACGATTGTCTCCTGATGAGATGTTGGCTGAAAACCCTAGAGACTTTTAAAATTAAAATCAATGCATTCCTTGTTTTAAAACTATATATAAATTTTGTACCTCTAAACATTTGTTTATATATATATATAGGTAATTATTAATTCCCTTAGTTCTCTGTTCGATATATATTTGCAACCTCCTTTGGCTATTTTATTTATTATTTAGCTTTTAATCCGTTGTTGGGTACTTTTAAAAAATTTTTTTTTTATTAAAGTCTTCGTTACGGTATTTTCTGAACATGTTCTTATAACAGCAGATACTTTTTATTGAATGTTGCAGCCGTGATGATTTTGAAACTTATCCTCCTACGATCTCTACTCATCTACCCTGTACAGGGCGTATTTTTTTTTTTACTTTTTGTTCAACCAATAAAATGCCCTAGAGCCACTCATGGTAGAGGATTACTGACTGAGATTGTTGTAAGGGGGATGGAAGTGGCAAGTAGGGGAGTATTACGAGGCCGAATAGAATATATATCGTTTGACCCTCGACGTAAAGAGACTGTGGTAATAAAATAAACACTTCGCATCTCCTCTTTCATTTGTCATCATCCACTGCACATAGATGGCAAACGACTGTAAATTAACAGAGACCCTAAAATACTTAAGTGAAAAGCGATATATGTCACATTTAGAATGCTGAATCTATCACACAAAAAACTATTGTCCTCATCTTTGTCGCCATATTTATTATAACACTCCGGCCTTCTTCAGGTGGCAGGAATTTTGAACTGAACCCTTTATTTCGCTCACTCAGGTAGACTGTTCTAGTTCCACGTACCATGTTTTTAATGGATGTCAGTTATCAGTTATCTCCTGTTTATTTCCCTCTGAAAGTTCTCCACCGCCTTAACCAGGTATTGAACTCACACTCTTTGGGTTCTGTTACTGGATCTAACTAACGCCTTTATCCACTGTGCCATGTGTCCTTCTGTGTATGAATTTCTGGGTATTATAAACCTAATGTCTTCAGTAACCATTTTTTACCAGTGCTCATAGTGCAATTTTTTGCTGTTATCATTACATGATTTTACTAGAGCTCATATTGCAATTTTAAATAATAATGTAAATAGTGTACATAATACCTCATCTCAGAAATATAGACAGATATTGAAAAACTGTTGGCACGGACAGGATTATCAATAAATTATTGGCCAATCACTGAGTCCAAAATACTGGGATTGAGTTAACTCACGTCAAGTAACATCATAGGTCTCAGCGATCAGTCAGTGTCATATACATTACTTATACATATAAAAAGAAATGCTTCCATCGATAAACTGAATTAGTCTAAAAAAGCTTCTACTTAGAGCTGTTATTACAGAGACTAAGATTGTAGTTGTCAGGAAATCATTCTTTCGGGAGTTTTTCCCCCAAAAAGTAACAGTTCTACTTACAAACAAAATATGGCGGACTTCACCACATTAATTTAACTTTAGATTAGGAAACAAGGCTGACGCAGAAAAGGATTAGAAAAAGACATCGTTACACACAAAACATGTATTTAACAAGATGTACAATATCGAACAACGATTTGAAAAAAGCATGCATTTAAGTAAGAAAAGGTTGAAATAAACAGGAGTTGCCTCTCTTTAACTGTTATTTTAGTATCCCAAAGTTCACTGGAAGAATGTTCATGACAGTTTCTTGTAATAATAGTTCTTGAAAGAATTGCTGTGTAAGAAAAGATTATGTGAGTATATACAAGGTATGTTCAGCATGTGGGTGGTGTGTGTGAGTGAGAAGGTTGGCGCATGGTTTCAACTGCCGTGGATTCGTTTGGCAGCTGAATTCTCACTAATTAGCTAAGAAAAATTCTTACTTAAATTAGTGACTATAGGCTCCAGATCGCTGCGCGGGAAGAATTTTTCTTTCGTGCAAACGATCTGATTGGTTGGCATAAACCAATCAGCGAGCGAGCTTTGGGGAGACTTAAGAAAGCTTCTCTGATTTGTTTCTCCCAAAAGTGCACAAAATTGACTACATAAAAATAGAGCGATTACAAAATTGTGGCATTGCTGCGATTTGTAAATTGTCTATAATAACGTAGTGGTGATTAATTGACCAATGAATGCTTGGCGTTGTATGTGATTTGTATTTTTGTATGTATGTATGTACGTGCGTAATAGATTCGTACAAATTCTCATTTTTGACCTACCGGAGACTATGATCTTAAAAGTCATAAAGAAATAACTTAAAAAATAAAAAAAAAATTATCTTGACTAACCACTAGATACTTTAAAAAGAAAAAAAAATACAATGAAAAGAGTTTCCTTCCATTTTAATTGCCGATGTTTGTGACCGAGACTGACCGGCTTCAAATTGGTTCAGGTCAATCGACTTATTTGTATCTAAATAAGAAATCCGCCAGACTGTTTTGATGGCGGATGACGTTAAAAAAAAAAAAAGAGAATCAATTTTATTTTGTTTGATTTACATTATTTATTAAGCCGTGTACTGTATTGGCTTTATTTGAACTAATTTTCTTTGGTTCTGTTGTCTTTTTATAACAACACATCTCTTTTATTATGAAATGTCGAACTTGATTCTGATGGGGCATGCGCATTCTTCCCTATACGCGTCACATCCGGTGTCTCATTTTTTCAAACTCAATAAATACACATGTAAGTGGCAAAGAGTATGAATGATCTGATAGAAAATAAAAACAATCAGGACCCTTAATCGCGTGTCAGGCAGTAAGACAATTTCTTCTACCATTTAAAAAAATAGAACGGCGAAGAAGCCCGGGGGGAGGCAGAAAAAGGGCGGAATATTGGAAAGAGAAAAAGAAAAGATGGAAGAAAGATGTAAAGGAAGAGGAGAGTGAAGTTAAGTGAAGAAGAAAGACAGAAAGAAAAGAAGAAAAAATTATGAAAGAAAATGAAAAAAGCGAGGGAAAATGAAAAGGAAATGTAAGAAGAGGAAAGTGAAATTAACGGAGGAAAATGGAAAAAAGTGGATAAAAACGTATAAGAAAAAGAAAGGTTATCGAGAAGAGAAGGAGAAGGGGCGAAAGAAAGACGTACGGGAGGAAGAAAGTGACAATAATAATAGAAGAAGAAGAAGAAGAAGAAGAAGAAGAAGAAGAAGAAGAAGAAGAAGAAGAAGAAGAATTAAAATAGGATGAAGAAGTTGAAGTAAGATGAAAGAGAAGGTTCATGTGGGGAGAAAGAAGAAAAACGGAAAAAAATAGAAAAATATAAACAGGTTGAGAAAAAGAAAGAAATGAGAAGTTAAGAAAGTGAGAGAATAACACTGAGAGGGGGGGAAGTAAAGAAAGATAGAAACGACAAAAATTAAGTTGATGAGGGACTGAAAAAAAAGGAAAGAAAATGTGAAGACAGTAAAAGAAAGAAAGAAAGTAGAAAAGAAAAAGGAAAGAAAATAGAAAACGGTAAAAGAAAGAGAAAAAGAAAGAAAGGGAAGTGAAAAAAAAGGAAAGAAAATGAGAAGACAGTAAAAGAGAGAAAGAAGAAAAGTCAAATAGTGGGAAAATGTTCAATTAAGAGAACAAGTACAAAAGTGAACGTAAAAAAAGGAGGAGGAGGAGGAGAGGAAGAAGAAGGAGGAGGAGAGGAAGAAGAAGGAGGAGGAGGAGAGGAAGAAGAAGGTGATAATGGAAGTAAATAAAAGAAGATTGATGGTATTACATGGACGATGAAAGATAATGTAAAAAAAAAAAGATAAGAAAGTAATAATAGTCAATGGTGGAAAAGGGTCAAGAAAGAAGAAAGAAAGATGTTGTTTCCAGCATTCTTCAGTTAACATATGACCCTTTCAATCCAGTTATAAGTCTCCATTCCCATGGCCTTTATCGTAGCCGGAGCGATAAAACTGTTGCCCAGTCGCCACGGATCCCCACCAGGGGGCGATTCGAAAGGTCATCAATGGCCTTCTCACGAGAAAAGAATAAATAAATGGATAAATAAATAAAATAAAACCCTAGATGGGATATAGCATGCGCCAGGGGTTTGTGTCGAGACATTTTAAGTTTAAAGTTTAAGAATACCGAAAAAAAAAAAGCCTGAGTAGAACAAACAAAAAAAACTAAATTTGCATTTCGAAAAGTTAAATAAAGAAACAGTATGGCGGAATTATATCCGGAGAGGTTAATTTGGAACTAAGTTCCGGAATATAAATTTATCACAGGAAAGTGAATAATCTGTTGAATATTATGATACCGTTTGTCATTTATTTGGTGGCTGACCTTGAAGCAATGGAATCGCATGATGGTAGAAATGAATACGGAAACGAGGCTTACTCTTTATCATTATATGTAATATATCTTAGTTTTTAAAAGTGTCTATTAGTATAAAATGCATACAAATATGTTAAAATAATATTTACTGTAAAATGGTGAATAGATTTTTAAATATACATACACACACACACACGCACGCACACACACACACACATACATATATATCATAATTATTTTTTTTTTAAAAATGTCTCCATCGTGACACAGAAATTACTGTTTCGAAACAGAAACTCAAGTCCTAATGTTCAATTTTAAACTGAACTTAAAATTTAGAGCGGCGTTAAGAATAACTTAGTTATTCTTAACATCGCTTGAGAATGAAACCGTGCTCTAAATTTTAACATTAATTTAGAAATTGAACATTAGAACTTGAGTTTCGGTTTCGAAAATATAATGCCTGTGTCGCGATGGAATTTTTTTTTTTTAAAAGATAATTATTATAATATTATGCTCTACTTTGTATCGAGTACTATTTTTTTTTTTTTTTTTTTTTTAAAATAAAACCAAAATACTAAAGAACTCTGGATTATAAATCTGACTATTTCTTTCCTATTACTTAGATATATACCTACCCCCCCAAATATATGAAGAACAAGATATATATATATATATATATATATATATATATATATATATATATATATATATATATATATATATATATATTATATCCAGATAAGAAGAGAACAAATAGAGCACAATTCCAACGTTCGTAACATTCAATTTAAAAAAAAAAGGGCACAACACAGAGTAGAGCAAAATCGCTCGAGGAGAGGCACTGATATGCGCTGAAACGCGATCGTAATTATCTGGCGATTTTAAACATGTTTTTCATATCTTAAAATAAGACATATATATATATATATATATATGGGGAAAATGTATGACAATGTGGAAAAAGTTTTAAAACTTTAAAATTTTAAAATTTAGAATTTTAAAATTTTAAATTCCCAGCATCCTTAGTTCGTGCGCATGTGTAGTTGCAATAACATAACGAATTTAGACCGATGAAGTCTTAAAAGACGAAACGCGTCACACGAAAACTGTTTTACACTTTGTCATACATTTTTACTTCAATATTGTTCTTCATATATAAAATACATATACCGTTTTTTTTCAAATATTTAAACATATTTTCAAATCAAAACTGTGTTTTTATGATATAATTTTTAGTTGTTGAGTTTTGATGGACACTAAATTTTAAGTTATTATTAACACGGTGTAGCATGATATCTAGGAAAGGTGAAAAGTATTGCTTTCATTTCATATATAAATTCTATTGGATATTCGATTACTGAGTTTTGAGACGGCACGGTGTAGTAATGGATAGTGGCTCGTATTGATGAATCAGAGAGCAGAGTTCGAATTCCAGTCGAATCCATTTCATTCACTTACGAACTAATACCCTAATATTGGAAGTATATTGATTAATATACACTGCGTGCCAAATTATTATCGAAATAGCTTTTTTCTAATATTTCAAAAACCGTATGATCGATTCACACAATGTTGGCAACACTGACCTGCGTAACCACTGAAATTTTCGTACTGATCTGCGCAATGTAAACAAACTGGCGCCATATTTGTTATCAGCACAGTGATTTGACCGTGCCAAATTATTAGAAAGGTTTAGTAAAATTCCCAGAATTGAACAAACAAAACGTTTATTAATGTTGCACGTGAATGTTTATGATCAAAAGAAGCTAATAAATAAGATAATCAAACAAATAATAACAGATACAAACAAAGGCACAGTTTTAAACAAATTAATAGGGAATGTGCTTTCCCTGTTTTGAAATTACTTGAAGAAGATGACGATCCATAGAATTTGTTAATTGTAGGATGTCATCTGCTGTAATGCCGCGAGATATGTCAAGAATTGCTTCCCACAACTCAGCATTGCTCCTGAATTGTCGTCCGTTGGCGTACAGTCTTCACTTCATGATGCTTCAAAGGTTTTCGATTGAATTCAAATCCGGAGAATTTGCTGGCCACTTTATTTTTCGAGGTCCATAGAAGCCTAACTGTTTGAAATATTCAGTAGTCTTGTGAGCAGCATGTGAGGGAGCGTTATCTTGCATAAAAAACAATGGCCCTTCTGAAGGCAACTCTTTGCCTTTTCATCCACAGTTCAAGATGCTCCTTCATAAACGCTATGTATGCATCAGCAGTCATTTTGACGCCATCTGGTACTCTCCATGGGCCCACTAATGTTTTTTCAATAATACCACCCCAGATCATTATGTCTCCACCGCCTTGTTGGCGTCTCAAACGCTGATGGCGATTCTGTCCGTTCATTACCCAGACTTTGCACCATCTATCTGGCCCATCAAGTGTTGCTCGAGTTTTGTCTCTGAACAAAACTTTAGAGAAGTCAATCTTCATATTGTCCTCGGCCCATTTCAATCGATTTTGAATGTGATTTCTCGTCAAAGGAGGCTTCGATACAGGTTTGACTGTTGTTGCTATTTCCCTCAGATACCGACATCGAGTACTTTTAGACACAGTAGGATCCCCAATGCGACTGAAAAGCTCTTAACTGGTAAGTCCAGGGTTCTTCGTGGCCTCTCGTTTAAGTCGTCAAATGAGACGACGTGAAATAACCCTCGGTTTACCTTTACCTGCCCTTTTGCGTACTTGTGTAGGGTCGGCGGTGAACTTTTTCACTGTTTGATGACACCTCCCTATCATTTTAGAAATTTCTACGGTAGATTTATCTTTTGAGAGTTTTGAGGCGATAGTTTTCTTTCCAGCATCACTTAAACTGCGTTTACAGCCCATCTTTTCACTAAATTCTTAAACTTTTCTAATAATTTGGCACGATCAAATCACCGTACTGATAACAAATATGGCGCCAGTTTACATTGCGCAGATCAGTACGAAAATTTCAGTGATTGCGCAAGTCAGTGTTGCCAACATTGTGTGAAAATTTTGTGTGAATTGATTTTACGGTTTTTGAAATATTAGAAAAAAAAGCTATCTCGATAATAATTTGGCACGCAGTGTATATTATTCAATATATTAGAAGTATGTTGATTGTTTAGGTAAAACATTTTAGAAAGGACCAGATTCGAGAAATTCTAAGAAAATACGTACAATTAGGGTCGATCTTTTGTTTATAAAAAAATATTGTTAAATGTGAAATAGTATTTATTGGTGATGAGGCGGCAGATTTTTATTATTTTGGAGAAAAGTTTAATCCCCCCCTACCAATAGCTAAAATTAAACCTTTAAAAGCTATGATATATATATATGTGTGTGTGTGTGTATATATATATATATATATATATATATATATATATATATAGAGAGAGAGAGAGAGAAAGACCAAACATCAACAACTTAAGCTGAAGGAAAGAGAGAGAGAGAGAGAGAGAGAGAGAGAGAGAGAGAGTGAGGAAGGGGAAGGGTAGGAGGGATGGAACGGATGAGAGAAAGAGGAGGATGGGGCAGAGGGAAAGGAGGGATAGAGAAGGCTGACGGAGAATGGAAACAGAGAGAGAGTGGGGGAGTGAGGAAGGGAGAGGGGTCTAGGAGGAACAGAGACGCGTGAAAAAACAATGGGAAGAGAGAGAGAGAGAGAGAGAGAGAGAGATGGTGAGCGAGGAAGGGAGAGATGGGAAGGAGGAATAGAGAGGAGTAACAGAACAATGGGGAGAGAGAGAAGTTGGCAGAGAGAAAGGGAGAGAGAGAGAGAGAAAGAGAGAGAGAGAGATAGACAGAGAGACAGAGAGACGGTTGTTATAGTGATAGACATATTCACTGCTTGTATCTGATAAAATTCAAGATTAAACCAAAAAAAAAAAAAAAATATTCGTTTGAATTTCTGGGTTTCGGCAGTTTTACTCTCCGCCTTCTTCAGATGTCTGTTGAGTAACTTTAAGGGAATTTCAGGACTGAAGCCTTTATTTAAAGTAAATTGTTCTCACCCCCTGTCCATGTTTAAGGAAATCTCTTGTTCAGTTATTGCTTGTTTCCTTTTTTTTTCTTTAAGTGTCAGTATGTCTTACTTGATCCAGCAGTTGAACGGAGAATTACGATGTTATCAAATTTACGAACCAATATTTTAATCTTGACTGTTGTCCCGTGGGACAATCACGAGTCTAGAATGTAACTCAGGATAACTTCTGCGAAAATTACACACAAATACATAGTTAATGTTACATGAAGGTGATGGAGTGAATTCTTCTTTCAAGTTTTGGCTTGTTTTGTTTTGTATTTATTAAGAATTTTCTCGTTTTCGATGTAGTTGTGACACATTTGATGTTGAGTTTAGATAAAGGATTGCCAGAAAGAATATATTGGAGAAACCTCAAGAAGTTTAAATAAAAGATTATATGTACACAAAAGAGGCAAAAGAGACATTTAAAAAAGAAACAACACAAAACGCATTGGTTGTTCACCGTAACGAAACTGAGCATGATTTAAGCATAACAAATGCTACTCTAATTAAAAAAGAAAAGAATTCATTAAGGCGGAACTGTTTAGAAAGTTCTTTAATCGCTACTTGAGTCACAGGAAATTTTCGTTCTGGTTCTTACAACGTTTCACAATTTTTGGCAGAGGGAAAGAAAAAGAAAAAGAATATAGATGAATTTTGATAGATTTAAAAAATTTTTTCTCTAAATTATGAAACTTCTAGCGACTGTCGTTCGTACGCATGCGTCGCCACAACAGCGTAAACAAATCCAGTCCGATGAAGTCCTAACGGCAAGTTACAAAAACTTTTCCTATCTGTCATATATATATATATATATATATATATATATATATATATATATATATATATATATATAGTAGTAGTAGTAGTAGTAGTAGTAGTAGTAGCAGCAATAATATTATAAGTATAAGAAACTATACTCATTCGGCAAACCTTCGGTGTCTTGATTTGAAAATAATCAAGCCAATACCAAAGAGAAAAAAAAAGGTATAAAATAAAGAAAGAACCAAGAACATGTATGTTAGCCGAAAATAATCGTCTAGCAAGCAAGTCCAAGGCCCAAAGAAAAAACAAACCCCGATATAAAATAAGCAAAATAACTAAATAAAGTGCTCAATACAATAAGTAGAGCAGACCTAGTTAAACCTAGAGAGCCGGACAACCTACCACGGTTTCAACTTAGCTCCAGGCTTCCCTGACGATCCGCTAGGGTGAAACCGTGGTAGGTTGCCTGGCTCTCTAGGTTTAATTATATATATTTATATATATATATATATATATATATATATATATGCAATTTTTATATATATTATTTATATATTATATATGCGCGGTGGTTATTGGAAAGCGATCAATATCAGCGATATTTGTCTGACGATATATATATATATATATATATATATATATATATATATATATCTCCACAAGTCTACTAAAATTTGGATTATTACTACATACAAAAACAATGGTTAAACATGATATAATATAAGGAAAAATTAATTCCTTTAAATTATATGTGGAAATAATCACACCATCTGATGAAGGTCACAAGACCCAAAGCAAGTGTAGCAAAAAATGTGGAAAATAAAGTATAATATATATTTAAAAATACGCATTATAACCAAAAAACGGTCATGGTTTCACTTTTCTCTTTAATATATATATATATATATATATATATATATATATATATATATATATATATATATATATATATATATATATATATATATATATATATATATATATATATATATATATATATATATATATATGTGTGTGTGTGTGTGTGTGTGTGAGTGTGGTAGGGGTGATATTAAGATGTAGATTAATATGCTAGGAAAAGTGGTGATAATAAGACAAAGTGGAAAAACCATTCAAACAACGCGTTTCTCTTTTTATAGTAGGCATCCTCATGCTGGTATGAGAAACAAACCCGTGTGGGGAAAAAAGAGGTTGGAATAAGGGGAAGTAATAACAAATATGCTAATCATACTTACGGCCAAAGAGTCGTTTTTTCCGTACTAAAGCCACTAACGTCAACTAGCTTTGAAATTTAGTATGTATACCGCATTGTGCTATTAATATTTTTATGACGATAGCTAATATTGTATGAGCCTGGTCGAAGGTTGATTGTAGAGACTTCTGAGACTAGAGCCAGATCAGGCTGAAAATGAAGTACTGTTGTCAAATTTCTCACTTTCCAGTCTCGATAGAGTTCACACGCGTCCTTTTGGGTGATGAATGATTTTCCACTATACAACCTCTCTAACACAAGATGTGGCGAACCTTCGGCTGCTCTATTACTATTTCCATAGAAAGTGCTCAGACGAAGTTGTTATGGTGAAAAACACCTATTCTATAGTTAATAGACTCTCCCACCTAATATAAGTAGGAGTAGTAAGATAAACGAGGGTCAGTCGATGTCGGACGACCGACTGAACGGTTCACCTCTCTGGCTACGGACGGAGACGAAGGAGGCTACGCCGAAGGGTGAGTCTCCTTCCTAATTCAGCCCTGAACCAGTTTATACGAGTTCAAACGGGCATATTTTTGGGGCCGAGCCCACGGGCTCGAAGCCCCAATAAACAACCGACCTTGTGTCACATGTTGCCCCAGTGGGGGGGCTGAATATTGTCAGTCGATGTCGGACGACAGTAGTCGACAGTTAGTCGAATACGAAAGTAGTCAGCGACCACAACAAGATTACTCTGCGTAATACCTATTATATCAAGTTCCTAACGGTTTGGACGTCGAACCGATTTAGTATAAATACAAGCCTCCATTGCGAAATAACTCCACAACAGAACTACATTCCTTGGTACCACCAGGTCTAAACTTCACGGCTAGGACCCGTCATGACGTTTATTTTATAGCATGACACCCACGTATTCCATCGGTAAGAATTCAATTTTTGCTTGAACAGCCTCTTCCCGCGAACAACTGTTCTGTGGAACCGATTCCCAAGAGGATGTTTCCCCGATCACTACTATCTTAATCTGTTCAAGTCTATAATTAACGGTTATCTTCTCTTCATAGTCATATAATCTGCCTCTTAATGTAACTCTCTACCTCGAGTGCCTCCCAGGCCTTGTACAGGGTGATTCTTACTCCGTCCTGGGTATGACGATAAACTACATCCAACAGCAAGGCCTTTGTTCGGGAGGTTTTGAGGAGCGTGGAATCACGTCTTAATTACTGTTGTTCCTAGGTCCGCCCCGACCTAAGGTGGTGGCACATGTTAAGAGTAATAGTTAACCCCCAAATTGGGATCGAAACACCTTGAAAGCGTAAAAATAGGTTTTATTACCAGCAATACATTTTTGTAAAAGGTTATTACCAGCAATAAATTTTTGAAGAAAAAAATTATTACCAGTAATACATTTTTGAAGGAAAAAAATATTACCGGTAATATATTTTTGGGGAAAAATATTACCAGCAATACATTTTTGAAAAAAAAAAAAAATTACTAGCAATGAAAATCTTGTCGGCATTAAATTGAGGTTGATATACTGTAAAACAAACCAAACAAACCCGTCTTTGGTAATGCGATAAATGACATTTAACAGCAAGGCCTCTCTTCAGGAGGTTTTGAGGAGCGTGGAACCACCTCTTAATTGCTGCTGTTTCCAGGTTCACCCTGACCCATGATGGTAGCATCTATTACAGTCTCAGCTATGGACAAATAGTTGACCCCCACCCAAACTGGGGTCGAAACACGATGAAAATTTAAAAATAGCAATACATTTTTGTAAAAGGTTTTTACCAGCAATAAAATTTTGGAAAAAAAAAAAAAATTATTACCAGCAATACATTTTTGAAGGAAAAATATTACCGGTAATACATTTTGGGGAAAAAATATTACTAGCAATAAAAATCTTGTCGGCATTAAAATGAGGTTAATATGCCGTAAAACAAACCAAACCAAACTAAAAAACTAAAACTTAAAGTTAAAAAAAAATATTTGTTAATTTCAACCGACAAAGTCTGTTTGCTTCGTATTTTTTTAATTCTATTTGTACAATTTCCCTTATCAAAATTGTGCATAAACTATCCAAAATTAATTTTTTCTATTTTATTTTCAAGTAGTTTTAACAGTCATTACTATGTGTGTTTGTGTGTTTCTGCGTCTGCTTGTGTGTCAGTGTTTTGATTTCGTTTTATCTATAAACAAGAATTCTTTTATTTCTTGTGTCTGTCATTTCTCATATCCAAATCGCAAATTTATTGTTTGCCCTTTCACTTTTAGGTATTTTATCAAAAAGGGAGAAAAATGAAAAAAAAATCTAATTTTGATTAATTTATCAACCCGTCTAACAGTCTATGTCTAAAATCAATATATCAATCATAGATATTTTGTTGCTATCGATTCGTTATCTACACTTTGAAAGGACTCTGTTCTGATTCGAAGTCATGGCGTCCGTTTCATCATACATCATACGCCATCTGGCAGACAACAATGAAACTCGTTCAAACCAGTCCGTTGCAGTGAAAAGTGACCTTCATGTACTCTTTGAGCTCAAAACCTCAACACAGACACACACATACACACAGGAAACAGAATATCTATCTATTTATCTTCATCTTTTCTACCTATCTTTAGCTTTTCATATCTATCTATCTATCTATCTATCTATCTATCTATCTATTTATCTATCTATCTATCTATCTATCTATATTGTTCATATCAACCTTGCTATATATGTCTGTATATTTATCCTCATCTATCTATCTATCTATCTATCTATCTATCTATCTATCTATCTATCTATCTATCTATCTATGCTTTGTTACTATCTATCTATCTATCTATCTATCTATCTATCTATCTATGCTTTTCCTATCTATCTATCTATCTATCTATCTATCTATCTATCTATCTTTTTCATATCAATCTTGCTATATATGTCTGTATATTTATCCTCATCTATCTATCTATCTATCTATCTATCTATCTATCTATCTATCTATCTATCTATCTACATGCATCTTTTATATCTATCTATCTATCTATCTATCTATCTATCTATCTATCTATCTATCTAACAGTTTTAAGCATACGGAGAAAGATATAACTTGGTCATTTCATCCATCCCTATTATTAAATAACCAAACAATTTCCTCTTTTAATTTAGGTTGAACATTCTAGAACAAAGCGTTTCATTACTGAAACATATTTAATAAGTATTTAAAAAATAACCCAGACACTCCTTTCATGACAACATCCTCGTCTATCTATCTATCTATCTATCTATCTATCTATCTATGAGAAGATGTGATTATTAAGGCTCGATTAGGTCACAATTTATAGTTTTGATTTTTAGTTTGATCTTAACTGAATTCACTACACATTTTGTTTAATTCTAAATAGATTTCCGATATGATGGATTTTTATTTTATTTCGATCGTTTTGTAACAGAAATCTTTGTAAATTACACTGGATTTGATTGTAAATCGAATCCTATACAAATTATGGTAGATGATTTAACTGAGATTTCGAAAAATTCGATTCGATCCTAAATCTGTTTTTTTTTGTTTTGTTGTTTTAATTCAATTTGTAACAGAAACAAACTAGTTGTGCCCGTGCAAATTTCCCAGGTTTTCCAATTTGGACTTTCTGATGAATCAGATTTCTAAATTTCCCTGGGTATCTTATAGGCGTGGACCTATAAAATACCCAGGGAAATTTCCCTATTGAATCCTTAGATATTTTGAGTTTACCAACTTTAACAAAATATCGCAATAACAATCATATATATGAATGCAGCTCAATATTTAAAGAAGGAAGAGGATTCAAACGAAAAGATTAACACGGTTTTACATTCATAGCCTTTTCACGCTTCACTTTCTTTCTTTCTTTCTTTCTTTCTTTCTTTCTTTCTTTCTCAGTGCCTGCTTTTCTCTCTTTCTCCAATGTTTAGGCCCTCTTTTCCTACAGTCTTTCTTTCTTTCTTTCTTTCTTTCTTTCTTTCTTTCTTTCTTTCTTTCTTTCTTTCTCCAGTGCCTGCTTTTCTCTCTTTCTCCAATGTTTAGGCCCTCTTTTCCTACAGTCTGTTCTCCTTTCTTTCTTTCTTTCTTTCTTTCTTTCTTTCTTTCTTTCTTTCTTTCTTTCTTTCTCCAGTGCCTGCTTTTCTCTCTTTCTCCAATGTTTAGGCCCTCTTTTCCTACAGTCTTTCTTTCTTTCTTTCTTTCTTTCTTTCTTTCTTTCTTTCTTTCTTTCTTTCTTTCTTTCTTTCTTTCTCAGTGCCTGCTTTTTTCTCTCTTTCTCCAATGTTTAGGCCCTCTTTTCCTACAGTCTTTCTTTTTCTTTCTTTTTTTTCTTTCTTTCTCCAGTGCCTGCTTTTCTCTCTTTCTCCAATGTTTAGGCCCTCTTTTCCTACAGTCTTTCTTTCTTTCTTTCTTTCTTTCTTTCTTTCTTTCTTTCTTTCTTTCTTTCTCCAGTGCCTGCTTTTCTCTCTTTCTCCAATGTTTAGGCCCTCTTTTCCTACAGTCTTTCTTTCTTTCTTTCTTTCTTTCTTTCTTTTCTTTCTTTCTTTCTTTCTTTTCTTTCTCCAGTGCCTGCTTTTCTCTCTTTCTCCAATGTTTAGGCCCTCTTTTCCTACAGTCTGTACTTCTTTCTTTCTTTCTTTCTTTCTTTCTTTCTTTCTTTCTTTCTTTCTTTCTTTCTTTCTCCAGTGCCTGCTTTTCTCTCTTTCTCCAATGTTTAGTCCCTCTTTCCCTACAGTCTGTACTTCTTTCTTTCTTTCTTTCTTTCTTTCTTTCTTTCTTTCTTTCTTTCTTTCTTTCTTTAGCAGCATATCAACACCTTTATGGGTTATTTAATGCCGAAATCTAAATATTTTCCACGCCATTTCATTTATTTATTTATTTATTTTCTGAGATAATAATTGTTTTAGTGAAACAAGTCTTCCTAATTAACCCATAGCTGGGGGGAGAAGTGGTGAATTCATACCTTTCCAAAGGGGATCTGAGCGTAAGTGAATATAACAAACCCGATTGGAATTGTCACTCAGCCATACGATTAACAATTCCGTGCCGTTAATCACTACACCATCCGCACATCTAAGCTTAGAGCATCTAGGTACTGACAAGCTCAATGTTGTTTAAATTCGGCGAACTTAGGAGAACCAATGTTTCAACGTGATGTGGTCGAAGGCCAGCTTTCTTTCTTTCTTTCAAACCAAAAAGCATGTTTGGTATATCTTTTACGGCCATCCTTTCCTCGTAATCACAACCAAATGATCCATTATTTCCTGAAGTAATTATTTCCTAATTAACAGCGAAACAACTAAAATATTATATGATTAGGATTGTTTGTAACTGGATGTTATACAAATTAGTTTTAATTCTAAACAGAATTTCCTACATATTGGGTTACGTATCTATAAATTGTTACTTGTTTGTAACTCTTAGTATATTTTTGTATCTATATTATAAATAAGGTTTGTTTGCAATCTCCAAGGATTCTCATGATGCAATATCTTATAGCAGCATTTCTCAACCAGGGTTCCCCGGAACCCTAAGTTTTTGCAAAAGGTTCCTAACGGTTCTGCGAGAACAGGTGAGATAAGCTAATGCACTTTAGACTTTTTATTTAATTTCATATACGTAATATTAATAAACACACACACAATATATTCTTGGTTATTGTAATATTGTCATAGAACATTGTGCCTTGATTTACTTTTCAACATTGCCAGTAAAGGATAAAAAACTGAAAAAAAAAAAACTGATGCAGCAATTATCTGTTTTTGTTCTGTTTACATTTATAGGCATATGATATTGGTTACTTATGTTTATTTTTAACGTTTGAGTTTAGAATATTTTTGTGTGAATAAAAACCTCCCTGATGAAGTATTGTCAACTAACAGTATGAATTTTATTTAGCATTACCAAAAAAAAAAAAAAAAAAAATGACAAAGTATTAATTTTTCCTTAAAACAGTTATTCAAAAATATATACTATGATATTTACCACATGAACTACAACGAAAATAAAATGAGAAAGATATGGTATATAATTTTGTTTTTGTGCAGGGGTTCCTTGAGACATTTAACTTATTTTAAGGGTTATGCAAGGGTAAAAAGGTTGAGAAACGCTGTCTTATAGGTTACTGTGTCATGCCAGAAAGTTTTTCTCGTCAGAATCCATCTTGCAGATTTACAAATCTACCATTCGTCCATACATTGAATACTGTTGCCATAACTGGCCTGGTGCTCCTGCTATTCATCTCGTGGTTCTTGTAGGAAGAGAGATGGTAGGAAGTGAAGATTGTGAGGATGAGATGGCTAGAAAACTATTAGCCCTTGTCTTTAAAAGCTTAATATTGTAGTATTCATGTGTAAGATTTATTATCTACCTCGTTATATAAAGGTATTTCTAAATGCTATAGTTATCCACAGATTCATTTTTAATTTAATATCTGTGAATTGACGTGATATTTTGAAAATATAGTGGAGTGATTTCCCGTTGTCCCCTCCACAGATCTTTTTTCTATATTATTTCTGACTTTGTCATGACTTTTTGGGAAAGATAGTGGAGTAGTTTCCCATTGTTTTCTCCGCAGTCCTGAATTCTCTCTCCACAACTGACTCCTACCCAATCCGCAGTCCTGAATTTAGAGTTTTTCTTCTCCTCAACTGGCTTCCACCCAAGCCTAAAGAAGCTCAGTCTCTAAATAAAGCATAGATAAAGAGAAAAGAGATGGATTACTGCCTTTTCCCAGGAGATTAGTGCGAAAGTCAATATGACAAACTCGGTCAGAATTTGAATCATGTTGTGGATTCCGAGATGAAATCCGGTCTCAAATGAATGACAAACGCAGGAATGAAATATAGCAAATAAATGTATTGACGTAATAATACAATTGGTAATACGGTTAGTAGATCCATAAAATGCGGTTAGTAGCAATAATAATATATATATATATATATATATATATATATATATATATATATATATATATATATATATACAGTCTGAGAAATTCAGTATCGAAGTATGACTTCCTTCTGAGTCTACGTGCTCGCAACTGTGACTCCTACAAAGCGGTTACCCCACACTCTCACTCTCTCACTGTTCACTGTATCAGTGTATCTCCCTTACTGTCTAACTTCCGGGTATTCACCGGCAGCAGTACAAGTACACACTGGTCGAGTCCACTTGTATGAAAAAGGGGTGGACCCCGTAACATTACACGAATATATTGTATTCTACGTGGGATGTGTAAAATTAATTCCATAAAGAGCTTTGCAATTTCCCGCCTCAAAAAGCAAAAATTTGCTAGGAGCAAAATCTGGCCTGTAGTGTAGACGGGACCGGCAAAGTAATTGCATCCCCTTATAAAAAGAAGAAAAACTGCACGCGATAAAATTGTGAGGTGCTACTATAATATGATATCTACTATTCATTTATGATTCTATGGGCAGTTATATTTTTGGCCCACAGAGCCGTTAATCTGTTAATCGTTGATTAACGAAGTTGTCATTTTCGTTGGCGATTTGACTTTTCAGTTGACTTTGAGAATCATCACAGGTTGGGCACCGTCAATATATATATATATATATATATATATATATATATATATAATTGTCAATATATATATATAATTGTCAATCTCTCTCTCTCTCTCTCTCTCTCTCTATATATATATATATATATATATATATATATATATATATAATTGTTGTGGATTCCGAGATGAAATCCGGTACCAATAAATAACAAGCGGCAAGAATGAATATAGGAAAATAATGTATTAACGGAATAATACAAACTGGTAATGCAGGTTAGTAGTTCCAGGAATGCGGGTTAGTAGCAAAATATCTAAACAGTCTTTGATATATAAAGTGAACATAGAAGTCAACACTTAGAGGCAACAGTCTGTTTCATGCTAGATGCAATCTTCAGGCCACGAATCTAGCATGAAACAGACTGTCGCCTCTAAGTGTTGACTTCTATGTTCACTTTTATATTTACACACTCTATCTCTGATATTGAGTACTTTATCCCATAAATATAGCACATTTTAAGACTATATTTCATATATATATATATATATATATATATATATATATATATATATATATATATATATATATATATATATATATATGTACACAAAGGTGTATCAAAATACTTTTTTACAAATTTTGGGGGCGTGTTCCTTACTCCAAAACAAGGTCAAAAGTTCATATATAACTGATGCTGGTGTCTAGCCTGTATTGTAGTATGGGGATTCCAATCCGCCCACGAATGTTGATTGTGTAAATTTGATGTTAGCCAGTGCATCATGAAAATTGTGACTAAAATGTGCTGGAGCCCCATCATGGATGAACCACATGCGTCGTCGTATTAGCAGGGGTACATCCTCTAGCAGGTCTGTGAGTGTGTCGGAAATAAAGTCTCTGTAGACAGCTCACGAAAGACGTGCGGGGAGAACATATGAATCCACCAGACAGTCACCTACAATTCTAGCCCACACATTAATCGTAAACTGATGCTGATGGCTAGTCTGTATTGTACCATGGGAATTCCGATCCGGCCACACATGTTGGTTGTGTAAATTTGTTATTCCATCGCTTCCAAATCTTGCCTTATTCGTAAACAAGACTGAAGCGATAGTTTGTGCAATAAACCATCAGAAAAAGTTCTCTCATGGTGAGTGATCGGAGGGTGAAAGACCCTGCAGACGTTGCAAATGATACGGATACAGGAGCTGCTCTTGAAGTACCCTCCATGTGGTACTATGAGATGTACGACATGCTAGGGCCATTTGACGTGTGCTGATACCTGGATCGTCCCCGAAAGCCCGTAGAATGTGTTCTTCGTGATCAGGCGTATGAGCAGATCTCGGTCTTCCTCGATCCATAGATTTGATGCCACGGATCCTGTTTCAGCAACGCGACGATAAACAGCGATAAAGGTTGGATAACTCTGCTGCCTTTGATCTAGAAAAGCAATCTGATAGAGAAATGTCGCCTCGCGTCCATAACTATTCACACGGCTGTATGTAAAAATCATATCTGCCTGCTTACGATATGAATATCCTGCCATTGTTAAATGGAACAATTCTCAGTTAACTCACTACTACATACATTAAACATTGAAGACAGACCACTCACAAGTGTACACGAATGACAAATGTAACCTAGTCCCTATGGCAACAAAATGCCATCTACCGTAATCTTTCTTTAACTTTTCTACTTTGGTGTGAGAAAACAGCCCCGAAAGATCGCCCCCCCGCCCCGGTATAATGGTTAAAGAAATGGCCGAAGGCGCTTGGGATATTTTTTGCACTTCTTTACTTTCATCAAACGAAAAAAATATAAGAATATTAAAACTAATTAAAAAAAATGAATCAAATTATCCTTGTGCTTTTTATTGAACGAAACATGGTTGCTTCCCAAATGTACATTTTATATATATATATATATATATATATATATATATATATATATATTACAACAAAACATGCAAGAATCGCTACACAATTACAGTCACGTTTAACACATAACGATGCGTCTCCTCAGACGATTGTAAAACGTGTACACGTTTAAATTAAATCTTACGAATGTTGAAGTGTACACTATTCGTTCTCATCGTACCTATATATATATATATATATATATATATATATATATATATATATATATATATATAGTTGATACATTTTTAATTTAGTTTTTAGTTTTTTTCTTTTGGTTTAGTGGGAGCGGAAAAATTGTATTGCCCTAAGCGTTTTCGGCCACTTCTTTTCGACATTTTATATATATATATATATATATATATATATATATATATATATATATATATAGAGAGAGAGAGAGAGAGAGAGAGAGAGAGAGAGAGAAAATAAAATATATATCATTTTTTTCTTTCGTCGTTCCGCCTCTCTCTCTTTCATTCTTTCTTTCTTTCTCTCTCCCTCCACACACACACACACACACACACACACACACACACACACACACACACACACACACACACATAGAATAAGACAGACAACCAAACAGAAATGTAGTGAACTTGAAAGTGAATGAAATCTTTGTCTGTCTATCTATCTAGATTTGAAAATGTAGAATTTCGCATGTAATTATAATAACTAATTATGTTTCTAATGTTTGACATGAAAAGAATGAAAGGAACATTAACGAAAGAAAAATTACACATAGAAAGTTGATGGGGGTATGTAAGGGAAAGACACAATAGACCTATGTATGTATGTATGTATGTATTTAAGCGTATTTAAGGGCGTAGAGGAGGTGGGAGTGGAAGTGAAGTAAAAAAAAAATATCTCGATAAATAGTTAAATATATAGAAGTTAATCTTAGATAGATTAATAGGAAGTTAAAAAAGGAAAAAAAGAAAAGAGATAAAGAAACGGACTCTCTGTAGATAAAGTGACAGTGTCGATAGTTTCCAATAGTTTGAAAGAATATAGAAAGTTGTCAAAAAATGGGCAAGTCATAGATAAAGAAGAAGAAGAATGAGAGGAGGAGGAGGAGGTGGAGGTGGAGAATGAGGGGGAAAGAGGGAGGAGAAGAAGAATAAGCAGGAGGAGAATATTAATAATAATACGAAGAAGAGGTCGAGGAACAGGATGAGGAGAACAGCAGTAGTAGTAGTAGGAGGAGGAGGAGGAGGAGAAGAAGAAGAAGAACGATAAGGATAAATATAATAATAATAATAAGTAAAATAAGAAAAAAGAGGAGGAAAAAAGAAGTAGGGCGAGGAAGATGAAAGGATACAGAGTAATAATAATAATGAGAAGAAGAAGAAGAAGAAGAAGAAGAAGAATTAATGAGAGATAAAAATAGAAGAGAAGGAAAAGGAGGAGAAATAAAGAGAAAATGCATGCATAAAGACAGAAACAGAAAAGCTTATGTGTGTGTGTGTGTGAGAGAGAGAGAGAGAGAGAGAGAGAATACGGAAGAGAGAATAAGGAACAGTTGAGGCGAAGAAAAAAGCAGGATAAGGAAGAAGATTTGGGATGTAAATGAGCATGTATGCAGGAAGAGGAAAAGGGAAAGGATGAGAAAATTGCGAGGTGAGAAATGGGGAGGAGAACGATTGAAAAGGTGGGAGGAGAAGAATACATACAGCCTTAGTGCAGAGAATGAAAGGACGTGAAAGAGAGAGAGAGAGAGAGAGAGAGAGAGAGAGAGAGAGAGAGAGAGAGAGAGTAACAAAGTGGATAGGGGAAGGTATGAGAAGAGGCAAAAAGATGAGAGGATAGTGAGAGGAGATGACTTGCAGCGGGAGGCAAAAGGAGATTAAATCAAAAAAGAAAAAAAAAAAGAAGTGAGAGGTAAGGAAGAGTTAAGGATAAATAATACTAATAAAACGGAAGGAGCAGGAGAAAGGGAAGGAGAGGGCTTATTTCTTTAGAGAGAGAGGGACAGAGAGAAAGACAGAAAGAGTGAGAGAGAGAGAGAGAGAGAGAGGGGGGTTGGGTAAGAATAAGAAGTGGGAGAGTATATTGAGAAAGTCCAACAAAAAGTAGGGCACGATTATCGATGAGTCGAGACTAGGCTTATCAGTTGAAGTCAAGGCTACTCAAAGGTATTGATCTTTCTTTTCTTTTCTTTTTTTTACTTTTTTTTTTTTGTTCCCAGGACGGGGTCAATCAGTGCAATCGTAGTCGCAACTATCACCGTCCATACGCACTGAGACGCACGTGCTCGACCACACACATCAATACGCGCAGATATGCACCGATGCTGAAGAGAGCATTACTTGTCGTGAGCGATAATGCGCATGCCCGAGTGCGTCAAAGGAAGATACGCCAGATTAATGCAAAAAAAAATAAATAAATAACATAAATAGAATAAAAATAAAAATAAAATAAATAAAAAATATCCAGTGCGCCTTGTCGTTGAAATAATGGCAAGTGAAGTTAGTCCGGTTGACCATTGCTGCGGAGTAATAGTTTCGATCCTCATTGGGCACTACCCGTACTTGAATCCTTGTCACAAAACTAAGATTAAAATACGCCACAATCGACAGGAAGCTCGTAAGAAAAACTAAGATATAGTTACCTAGATCTCGTGACTGGATATATTAGCGACACGGATTAGAGATTTGGAGAACCAAATCCGGATTCTGGCTGAGTTCATTACATTCACTTACGTGAAAATGCCTTTGGGAAAGATATGAAACACTGTACTAACGGACACTTTATCATAGACTTTATATATATATATATATATATATATATATATATATATATATATATATATACAGGTACGATGAGAACGAATAGAGTACAATTCCAACGTTCGTAACAGTTGATTTAAAAGAAAAGTAGACCAATATTATTTATTTTAGGATATTACACCGAAGACATGTAAAATATATATATATATATATATATATATATATATATATATATAGTTTGAAGGTATGCTATATTTATGGATATAAGTATTCAATATCAAGGATAGAGCATATGTAGATATAAAAGTGGACATTGAATTCAATACCCAGAAGTGACAGTTTGTTTCATGCTAAATATAATCATCAGACCTGACATTTTCATTTAGAATGAAACAAGACTGTCGCCCCTGGTGTGCGTGTGCAGGGCGTATATATATATATATATATATATATATATATATATATATATATATATATATATATATATATATAAGGTATGCAATATTTATGGACTTAAGTGCTCAATATCAGGGATAGAGCATATGTAAATATAAAAGTGGATATTGAAATCAAAACCCAGATGTCATAGTCTGTTTCATGATAAACGTAATCATCAGGCCTGATGTTTCCTTTTAGCATGAAACAAGACTGTTGCCTCTGGTTCTTGACTTCAATGTCTACAATATATATATATATATATATATGTGTGTGTGTGTGTGTGTGTGTGTGTGTGTGTAAATGTAAAATTGCGCATTGAGTGATTTATATATATATATATAAATTATAATATATATATATTATAATTTTTCATATAGACAAAAACAATTTACTCATTACAAAGATGCAATCTTATTTCGGTGCATTTGCATCTTTGTAGTGAGTAAATTGTTTTTGTCTACATGAAAAAATATAATAAATAATTATTGCTCTACTATAGGTATTGAGCCCTCTTTTGAATTAATGCTGTGAATGTTAGAATTTATATATTATTTTCGTTCTCATTACATTCGGATATATATATATTTGGTTGGATAGATGTGAGTTTGTGATCCTGGGTTTCACGCTTTAGCGATCGTCAGACAAACTAGTGAAACCCAGGATCACAAACTCACATCTATCCAACCAAATATGTTAGCTCTATCTCTGATATTGAGAGCTTTCTAATAAGTACCGCGCATATAATATATAAATAATTATACATATATATATTTGTTTATATTTATATACACTTTTCACACACACACACATATATATATATATATATGTGTGTGTGTGTGTGTGTAGTTTCATTAAAATATGTTTCATTGAATGATATAGACATATTGTATCTGCTTATTTTTATACTGAGCCTTTCCACTTGTCTCAGAGGTTTCCAGTTGTCTAACCAGTTTCTTAATTAAGGAAGGCATAGTAGTGTTTTTTAATCCAAGTACTTTCGACCTTTTCTAAGATCCTCTTCAGTAGTAAATCACAAAGACAGTCTGCATTCCGTTGTGATGGTGATGTTTAAAAACGCGCTGTTATAGTTATTTTAAAATTTAAAATTATTAAATTTATCCGTTGTAGTTTCAATATAGTGGAGCTGACCGAAAAGTGGGAGAAATGTAAAATGGTATTAAATGTTTTTTGCAACATTCAAAGTGGAAAGTCTATATTGAATATATTGCTAGTTCAGCTGCTAAGAAAGTTGGTTCACTGTGTCGTACGAGACAATTTTTCTCTCCAGAATCTATCTTACATATCTATAAGTCTACCATTCGTCCATGCTTAGAATATTGCTGTCACATATGGTCCGGTGCCCTTGCTATTTACCTTGAGCTCTTTGATAAGATCCAAAGAAGAATCAGCAATATTATCGTTCCCGATTTGGCTGTTTGGCTTAAGTCACTTTTTCACTGCCGTAAAGTTGCTCCCTGTCTTTTCTATAAATACTCTCATGGCAATTGTTCAGATGAGCTCTTCTCTATTTTACTTAATCTTTTTGAATTTAAACACAGCATTAGACTGGCGTCAGGATCTCGTCAATTTACAGTTGAGCTGGATAGATGTAACTGTAAATTCTATGCTAACAGGTTCTTTTCTCGCACTTTGCGTTTGTGGAACTCTCTTCTGTCTCTAAGCTTTCCAGCCAACTTTAATCTGCAAAATTTTAAATGCAATGCCAATCATAATCTACTGTCCTTATGATTACACTTTTCTTTTTCAGAACATTATTAATGCTTCTGTTCCTAATTCTTCCACATCCTGTAACCACTTGTGTCTTAGTGACTCTACTGCCTTGCATGGGGTGAAACAGATTTATATATATATATATATATATATATATATATATATATATATATATATATATGGTGTATCAAAATGCATTCGCAAACTTTGGGGCGGGTTTCTCACACCAAAAGAAGGAAGATGTTTATATGGACTTTTGTCCTTGTTTTGGTGTGAGGAACACGACCCCAAAGGTTGTAAAAGTTTTTTTGATACACCCGTGTATATGTAACTCTGTGTGTTTTCAATTATACGTCGCTATAATAATTCCAAACGTGACTTTATATATTTATCACTAATGCAGTCTTAATAAAGAGATATTCCATTCTTACGGTAGCATTTATGCACGTTGGGCCAAAGACCAAAAAAGATGTCAAGACTCACGAAACACCGAGAATGATTTAAAAAAATTGAACAATACAAGACAAAGTTCGATAAAAATATTTCTTCGATCTTGAGAGGTCTGAAATTATATTGATCTCTGTTCATATAACTTCAGCGTCGTGAATAGACCCCCCCACAATTGTCAGGATTTCCCAAATCTTAAGAATGGTTTAGAAATGAACGCTGTCTTTTAATTAAAAAGTTTTCGGTTAAAACACTTTTATTTGGGCAGGAGATGCCCAGCCTTCCCCAAAGCATCTCATCTGCTTCTACAAGAGCCAGGTCAGGCCGAAAATGGAGTACTGCTTCTATATATGGGCAGAAGCTGCACAGTCTTCAGTCTCGAGAGACTCCAAAATCGTCTCCGCGTCCTTGTGGGTGACAAATTATGTTCCACCCTACAACCCCTTTCTCACAGATGAAAAGTAGCAAGCCTCTCGCTGCTCTATCGCTATTTCTATGGAGAATTTATTCTAGGTATGACGATAAACTACATCCGGCATCAAGGCCTCTGATCGAGAGGTTTTTGAGAAGCGTGGAACCACTTCTTAATTGCTATTGTTCCCAGGTCCACCCTGACCCAGGCTATGGTTCCAGCCATGGGCAAATATTGAAACCTCCCAAACTGGGGTCAAAACATATAAAAATACATTAGAAAAAAAAAAAACAAAAAAACAAAACAAACTAGCAGCAATATATTTTCATAGTAGAAAAGAAAAAATTACCAGCAATACATTAAAAAAAAAATTACCAAAGCTCACAAGAAAATAAAATTTCGGCATTAAATGGCCCATAAGGTCTTGATATGTTGATAAACAAACAAACCAAACCAAATCCATGAAAGTGCTCAGACGAGCTACATTTAGTTTCACCAGTTTTAATCTTCATGGTTAACATCTGCCCTACCACGCCCGTTGTAGTGAACCACCTTCATTGAACTTCGTATTCCATTTGTGAGATGTAAGTTGCACTCGATCACAACAATCTTAACCTAGGGTACCTCGGCGTGGTATAATGGTTAGCAAGCTTATACCGCTAGAACAATTATATCGTCACTTGTGCCACATCTGAGCTACACTTAGAAAATCCTAACTACAATCTTAACCTGTGCAAATCTGGGATTACCCGTTATCTTCCCCACATATCCGCCTAAACTGTGACCCTTACTCTGTAAACCCCTATTTTCGATTGGCTCCTTGTAGAGGGGGAAGAAAAAAGTTTCATGCAAACTTATCTTTTTTTGCTATTATTTTATTGATATTTTTTTTAAAAAGTTCTCCAAATTTAATGACTCAAGGTAGAAGGTGACGGAATGGGGTGGGTGATATGAAAGTAAGAGGAGAAAATAGGAAGTGAAGATTATGAGGACAGATAAAGATTGAACCTTGACCTATAGAGATTAAGATTGTAGTGTTCGGGGACGCATCCACCTGGGAGTCTG